ATTAATAGTACACACAACGCTACGAAATTCTGAACGGCGCCATGACACCGAAACCGAACCGTGCTGCCACCCCGAAAAAGTTGCGTATTTGACAATTTATTTTGCACGTTACAGACCTAGGGCTAATCACAAAAGTGCAATTATATTTGTACCCAGGGGCGTAAATTCGTACCGAGGAGTGGGGGGGATGATCGGCGATAGCCGGGGGGCGAAATTAACATTGGCTGCCGCAGGCAGGCCCGCGTGCTGTAGGCAGGCCAGTGCTAGGGGGGTCTGGGGGCATGCCACCCCCAACAAAATTTGAAATATTTAAGCCATTTTCCTGCAATCTGAGGTATACTGTGGGCCATATTCTCATGTCTGATGACACTATCTCAACCCTAGACTCAACCCTACAAGTTAGGATTCAAAACACTTTTCATGACTTTTCAGAGAGCGTACACAGGTTACTATAGTAATAATACATGTATTAAAACACAGGTAAGAATTGCAATTTCTCACAATTTCTAGTGTTTTTGTATGTTTGCAACCATACGTTTTGGCTATTCTTTTTTTTCCTTTTTTTTTGAATCTCAAGGGGGATATTTGTACAGGCCATCCCCCCTCCTTCAAGAGCGGAGGGATGCATCCCCCTTCGGGATTTACGCCCCTGTTTATACCTAAATGCTATTTAACCGAACGATATTCATTTTAGGGCAAATTTATCCATATTATAACTGAAAATATATGTCGTTTTTAAGATATTACAATCCTTTTGCTTTTAAATGAATATATAAGAAACATCTCCGGTTTGTAGTCCTTGACTGGAAATGGTTTTGCGCAACTTATCAGATCGTGCGCTTTGAGTGGCGCCACCGTCGTTGTAATCAAACTGTAGTCGTTAGTTTTAAAACATTTTTTAATAATATTTCTAATGATGATTGAACCATGAAACTTTTTATGTAGCGTAATTTTAACCTAAATTAACTGAAAATTACCTTAGAACCTAGAGTAAACCCTTTAAAGTCTGTAACGAAAAATAGCATTTTTTCACTGATTGAATTGACGCACCAACATCAAGGATTGCAATAGATATAGGTTTTCATTTCATTATTAACCGAAAGAATAAGAAAGGGGATGATAAAACCCCCAAAACAACAACTAGATTTGACAACCTCATTATCTCATAAAGATTAGTATTCAAAGTCCAAGGAACTATATCGAAGACGGAGAGAGGCGAAGTTGATTAAATATACAGAAAAAGCTTAAAATATATGACATATGATATAATGACTGTTGGTATGGACACAATGACATGATTGCATATGACACAATGCAAATATTCAATATTCGTACGCTCATGCAGTAATCCCAACTTACATATATCAGTATAATTACATACCACTGACATCAGGCTCGTAGCTAACGGAGTAACGGGAGGAGGTTAATTATTTGCACTGTAGAAATGTTTAGATGGACAATCGCGAACTACCCAAAGAAAATTGAAATCGATCTTTATAGTCTTCAAATTTAAGTCATTTGATTATTATAATAGGTGGGCTTCCGCTGAGAGTTTGGCTGCAAAGAACCGTGGTTACGTGAATCCATGTTCGATTGATTGGCATTATATGCGCAGTTTTTCCACTAGATGGCGGGACGAGTAACAATAATAGGTCGCCACCATCGATGCAACATAAGAATATGTTGTGAAAGTTTGTATTGCTAGGTTATAAGGTGAGAAATTTAGGTTTTGTGATTGTGTTTGACACTGTGTTGAAACATTATTAAGCGTATGAACATTACTTAATACTACGTTGTCGTCGTGTATTTTATCGTCAATAGTTCACCGTAATCAATTCATTTGTGGCTGCTGAATTATCTCGTGCTACAAACCTCTCAAACCAGTACAGTACTCGGCAGTAGGCCTACACTCAGTATGACTATGAGTATGAGTGCTTTAGTTTTCAACTTTTCATCATGTATAATATGTCATTCAGACGATAAAATTTAGAGTCCATGTACAGCCGTGGGCAGCCAATATTAAGCAAATAAAACACGTATTCACCACTGACACTGTAGTGTATCACTACACTCTACAGCTCACCCGGCGTAATGAATGTGCATGCTAGATGACTTGCAATTTATTTCTTCAGGTCGTTGTCTTTGTACTGTAGCTGTTATTTTCTATATACAATTGCTATCAGAATTATTAATAACGCTGTGGCTATATGCCCGGCAGCCGGGCATGGTCTTCGATTTCTTAAATGGCCTTCAGTTTCTAACCCTAACCCTAACCCTAACCTTTGTTTACTTAAGGACTGGCAAATGCTATTTAACCTGGACAAATGCAAATGTATACATATGGGATATGGCAATCTAGAGGCCACATATTACATGAACAATGCGCCCTTAGCCAACGCAACGGAAGAAAAAGACTTGGGAATTATAGTACATTCATCGCTCAAACCATCACGGCAGTGTGCGGAAGCAGTCAAGAAAGCCAATAGAGTACTAGGGGTGATGCTTGTCTCGTAAACTACCTATGTTTAAACATTATGTTGTCTGTCGTCATCGTATACTACCACTCCTTGTTCGTGTGTGCGTCCGTGTATGCGTGCACCTGCCTATACGTCACCTTCATAGCTGATCGATGGTATATGTCAGTAACCGTCGTTCATTCCATAGTTACAGAGTGTGCCGCCAGAGGTCGCCATGTTAGAGTGTATCGGTGGGAGACGCGTGACGTCACAAACTGGACTGCGCAGTAGAATGTTGATAATGAGCAATCGATTCAGTATGTGTTGATTGAATTATAATAAAACGGAAAATGTTTATGGAAATTGGTTGTTCTTTGTTTGTTTGTTTTAGTGTGTTGTGCGCGCGCATGCGCTGTTGTGACGCAGCTGTACGCCATGTATAACACTTAACACATATAGTTGCCTTTCAGTGTCTCGTCCCTATTTTTAATTTGCCCAAATTTGCTCGTTTTTAATTATTACGTAGAATTAATTACTCGTTTCGCAAATTTCTGGTAAAAGGGGTGAGTCAGGACAGGTCGGGGTCATTGGCAGGTAGACTGGACCAAAAACTCCCAAATATCGTTCAGCAGGTGTGCAGTACTGAATTTGCTTTTGGATTTAGCATAATTCAGTGCACCATTTTTATGAGTTGTTTCGTTAGGAAAGTTTTCTTCATAAAGAATATTCACCATAGTAGGCTGACGACTTAAAGGGATAGTAGACTCTAGGATTTTACTGCATACAAGTGTACTTACTGTATAACAAATCGTCTATACCCACACGTATTTGTTACCAGATACCTAATTTAATTGTTATAATTAATTACACATCAACGCTACGAAATTTGAATGGCGCCATGACACCCGCAACCGTGCTGCCACCCCGAAAAAGTTGCATATTTGACAATTTATTTTGCACGTTACAAACTGAGGGCTAATCACAAAAGTGCAATTATATTTATACCCAGGTGCGTAAATCCGTACCGAGGAGGGGGGATGATCGGCGATAGCCGGTGGCGAAATTAACCTTGGCTGCCGCAGGCAGGCCCACGTGCCGTAGTCATGCTAGTGCTAGGGTGGTCGGAGGGCATGCTCCACCAGAAAATTTTGAGATATTTAAACCATTTTCTTGCAATCTGAGGCATACTGTGGGCCATATTCTCATGTCTGATGACACTATCTCAACCCTAGACTTAACCCTACAAGTTAGGATTCAAAACACTTTTCATGACTTTTCAGAGAGCGTACACAGTTGGGTTACTATAGTAATAATACATGTATTAAAACACAGGTAAGAATTGCAATTTCTCACAATTTCACGTGTTTTTGTAATGTTTGCTAACCATACGTTTTGGCTATTCTTTTTTTCGCTTTTTTTTGAATCTCAAGGCGGGATATTTGTACAGGCCATCCCCCCTCCTCAAGAGCGGAGGGATGCATCCGTCCCTTCGGGACTGTACGCCCCTGTTTATAGCCTAAATCTATTTAACCGCATCGATAGTTCATTTTAGGGCAAGATTTATCCATAAATTAATAGACTAAGAAACTAATGTCGTTTATACATAGGTTACAATCCCCTTTGCTTTTAAATGAATAATAAGAAACACCCTCGGTTGTAGCCGCTTGGCTTGAAATTGGTTTTGCGCAAGCTTATCAGATCGTGCGCTTTGAGTGGCGCCACCGTCGTTTTAATCAAACTGTAGTCGTTAGTTTTAAAACATTTTTTAATAATATTTCTAATGGTGATTAAACCATGAAACTTTTTATGTAGCGTAATTTTAACCTAAACTAACTGAAAATAACCCTAGAACCTAGAGTAAGCGATCCCTTTAAAGTCTGTAACGAAAAATAGCATTTTTTCGCTGATTGAATTGACGCACCAACATCAAGGATTGCAATAGATATAGGTTTCCATTTCATTATTAACCGAAAGAATAAGAAAGGGGATGAAAAAAAAACCATAACAACAACTAGATTTGATAATCTCATTATCTCATAAAGATTATTATTCAAAGTCCAAGGAACTATATCGAAGACGGAGAGAGGCGAAGTTGATTAAATATACAGATCAACACTGCGGATCGCAGTAGAAATAGCTTAAAATATATGACATATGATATAATGACTTTTGGTATGGACACAATGACATGCTTGCATATGACGCAATGCAAATATTCAATATTCGGACGCTCATGCAGTAATCCCAGCTTAAATATCAGTATAATTACATATCACATCACTGACATCAGCTCGTAGCTAACGGAGTAACGGGATTTGCACTGTAGAAATGTTTAGATGGACAATCGCGAACTACCCAAAGAAAATTGAAATCGGTCTTTATAGTCTTCAAATTTAAGTCATTTGATTATTATAATAGGTGGGCTTCCGCTGAGAGTTTGGCTGCAAAGAACCGTGGTTACGTGAATCCATGTTCGATTGATTGGCATTATATGCGCAGTTTTTCCACTAGATGGCGGGACGAGTAACAATAATAGGTCGCCACCATCGATGCAACATAAGAATATGTTGTGAAAGTTTGTATTGCTAGGTTATAAGGTGAGAAATTTAGCTTTTGTGATTGTGTTTGACACTGTGTTGAAGCATTATTAAGCGTATGAACATTACTTAATACTACGTTGTCGTCGTGTATTTTATCGTCAATAGTTCACCGTAATCAATTCATTTGTGGCTGCTGAATTATCTCGTGCTACAAACCTCTCAAACCAGTAGGCCTACAGTACTCGGCAGTAGGCCTACTCAGTATTAGACGATTACGAAGTGTAAGTGCTTTAGTTTTCATCATGTATAATATGTCATTCAGACGATAAAATTTAGAGTCCATGTACAGCCGTGGGCAGCCAATATTAAGCAAATAAAACACGTATTCACCACTGACACTGTATGACTAGTGAGTAGTGTATCACTACACTCTACAGCTCCCCCGGCGTAATGAATGTGCATGCTAGATGACTTGCAATTTATTTCTTCAGGTCGTTGTCTTTGTACTGTAGCTGTTATTTTCTATATACAATTGCTATCAGAATTATTAATAACGCTGTGGCTATATGCCCGGCAGCCGGGCATGGTCTTCGATTTCTTAAATGGCCGGCAGTTCCTAACCCTAACCCTAACCCTAACCCTTGTTTACTTAAGGACTGGCGAATGCTATTTAACCTGGACAAATGCAAATGTATACATATGGGATATGGCAATCCAGAGGCCACATATTACATGAACAATGCGCCCTTAGCCAACGCAACGGAAGAAAAAGACTTGGGAATTATAGTACATTCATCGCTCAAACCATCACGGCAGTGTGCGGAAGCAGTCAAGAAAGCCAATAGAGTACTAGGGGTCATTAAAATGTGCTTTACGGACAAGTCAAAGCATACAATCATTCCCTTGTACAAATCGCTAGTCCGGCCTCACCTAGACTATGCAGTCCAGGCCTGGAGTCAATATCTGGTAAAAGACATTCAGCTCATAGAAAAGGTCCAGCGGAGAGCTACAAAATTGGTGAGAGGTCTCGAACAACACCCATACCATCATAGACTATCCAAACTAAATCTCACCACACTGGAGAAACGGAGGGAGAGAGCAGCTCTTATTGAAGTTTTTAAACTCATCCAGGGCATAGACAAAGTAAACTATAGGATTTTTTTACTAAATCACATGTCACCCATATAAGAGGACACAGTATGAAACGTTTTAAGGACCGGAGCAGGTTGGAAATACGAAAGCACTTTTTCTCCCAGAGAGTTGTCGACACATGGAACAGCCTCCCTCAAAATATAGTAACGTCAAAAGACGTTCTCGACTTCAAGATCAAGCTTAGCTGCCATTGGTCGAGCCAGGGTTTATAAATAAGCAATAGCTGCCTAACCCTTCATAGCCATGCATCGACATAATGTTGTGTGTGGCTATACAGTAAATACAGTAAATATAGTAAATACTTGAGATAATGCTGAAAATTAAAAACTGCCGGGCATTTAGGAAATCGAAGACCGTGCCTGGCAGCCGTCAGATATATGCCGGTTGCCGGGCATATAGCCACTCTGTATTAATAAATTATCTAAAAATGAAGTGACACACTGTCGAGCCAATCGGTGCTGGGAATAGTGCGGCCTGTCGCAGTTACAAACAAGCTCATCTGATGGCCCTGACATGTGAGGAACTGTAATACTAATAGTGATCCCAATTGTGGCATAATAGATGTTTATAGTGAATAGAGAATGTCTATCGGCAGATAATATTGCCACAAACCATCGTGCAACATTACTTAATGAACCGCAAAGGTAAGAGTGGGTGTAGAATTACTACATACAGGTCTGTGAGTTGTAATATGTAATTTTCAGGTGCAACAGTGTAAAGAGATGTACCATTTCGAAGGAGAATTTAGACGGCGACCACAACAATCACTGAGAGGTGCTTCTACCAAGGTCTGTGTAGTTATAGCCACACAGTTTAAATATATACCATTTAAACATACTATTATGTTGATATCTGAAAAAGGAAATTGGGTGTTCAGTGAGCACTGACAGAGTTGATCATACTATATAGAAAAATATATAAATAAATAAATACATATATGATATGTAATGATGATATCACATCTGTATTTGCAGGCAGAGAGAGAAACTATAATACAGCATGCACAAGCTGAACGGCAGAAAAGACAGGTACCACCTGCGTGTTTGCTTTGCCGTGTGTTTTGCACAGGTTTCCTGTACAGGTTTTCTGTGTAATACTAACCATATCTATCATTTAAATCGATACCTCCATTTATAGTATTATATTTAGGAACAAACAGCAGTACATGGTAAAACTAGCAGCAATGGGTCATACTGGTTTACTAAGATCAAAAGCAAACTTTTGAGAGAGGGAGATATTACAAATTTCCAGCATGACTTTTTCTAATTCTTGATCAGAACAATGGCTCCGAGCCATTGTTCTGATGAAGAATAGCCTTATGAGAGGAAAGACGAAAGCTGAATTAAAGGAATAAAAGCTAATCCAAGCACATATTGCTTATGATAACAGGTAAAACGTAATAGCAACCAATGAATAGTTGTTAACAAATTTGTTTCATTCTAGGATCAACGGCAGAGAATCTTCAGCGCAACCATAATTCAGGCCTTCATCCGTGGAACGTTTGATCGAATAGCTATCGTAAGTGTTCAAACAATGGATACAACATACGTATGGTTTACACGGACATATATTACATTATTAACTAAAATGATGTTGTTTTATAACCAATTCTGGAAGCAAGTGAATGTTGAATATATACATGTGTATATATATATATATATATGTGTCGATATATACATATATATACGTGTATTTACACACATATGCATCCATCTATTTTCTGTATCACATCTACAGAAGAGAGAGCAGCGGCGGCTTTTCGATGCTCAGCTTGGAATCACGGGGAAGGCGGGCGTGGATGCTGGCACCCTCATCGTCCTGCTACGCCGGCTCCTCATCTTCTACACGGAGGATGCGGACACACAGAGACTGGTGAGCGCAGTAGTGCATAGCATCGCGGATAGAATCACGAGGGTTTCTCGAGCAAGGCAAGTGCTTTGGTAGGTAAAGGTAGGTTTGCAAGGGCTGCTTTGGGTTTCGTCAGAGATTTGTGGGACCCGAGGCAAATCTCAGGCAAATATTCCCCTGTTAGGACGGCCACCATGGCAATAATTTTATCAACACGTTACATTTGCATTTTATCAACACATTTTACATAAAACGGACGGGGATACATACTGAGAATAAGAATAGAAATGAGAATGTATGGGGTGCAGGGGGTGGGGGGTTCCATTGTGAGGCTTGCCATTTATTGATGTTTTGCAGGTGTCCCTGTGTCAGTTGTTGTTGAAGAACAGAGCAATGCTCTCTGGAGCTTTGGCTGCGGAACCACAGCAAGGCGTCCACTGGATGAAACAACTTCTGCACAAATGTTGCTGGTATGTTGCGCAATACAGTATATAAAGATTACCGGCTATCATTCAAGCGCGTAACGCGATATTTGGGGAATAAATGATGAGATATTGGTATCCTTAATGGTCTGTCATTCTTGGTGATGATATTCACGCTGCTATGTGTTTTCTGTGCGTTTGCAGTAACATCCTTCACGTTCTCCACTCTTCGCAACCCATCGCCGTTCAGTTGCGAATGCTAGAGATATATACCAGCGAGCAGGGATATGTGGCGCCATCTATATCGTCGGGCACCGGGGTTGCCGAGCATCCCGCGATGCTGTGCTTCCTCGAAAGGGTTCTCCAGTATCTTGTGGACAAAAGTAATGATTGCATATTCATTAGTTAATGATGCGTGCATTCTAATTAACTTCTTTATACGGCACTCTTCGAGCTGGCTTGTAGATGGGCCGGGTCATAGGATGCTGTGTGTAGGAGATTTATGAGTTTTTCTAGGTGTCCTTATAGTATAGCAGTTACCAGACTCACTGAGTAACTTTTGACTGGCTACTTTTCTTTGCTCTTAGTTTAAACGTTCTTGTTCTTCAAATCAGTCATTGTACACTGTGTGTGAATTGGGCACTCACTTGCCACAGCCACAATGATTTCTCTGTTGTGCTAATACATTTCTAAATTGTAAGATTATGTATATATATATATATATATATATGTCAATTATATGTATTATTATAATATATATTCAGAAAATGATATCCTATATATTAAGTATGAAACAATGGTTATGATATATGACAATTATGGTCGTGATTATATTACAATAAATAATAGAAATAACATAATGAACAAGTTGCGCGCGTGCTCACATCGTACCTGCGAGTGCTCGCATCGTACCTGCGAGTGCTCACATCGTACCTGCGCGCGCTCGCATCGTACCTGCGAGTGCTCGCATCGTACCCGCGAGTGCTCACATCGTACCTGCGAGTGAGCGCGATCGATATTCGATCCATCGTCTGTGTGGATTCACACTTGTCGTTGTTTCCGACAGATTTCTTTGGATGTGTACTGAGGGACGGTGTTTTGCTTGGTTGAATGGTGCGGGCGAGTCTGGGAGGCATGCGTACAAGGCCGCCAACCCCGATCGCCGCCACTGCGTACGAACCCTCACCGCCAAACCCGTCATTGGTCGCCCGCTTACAGCCAAGACACGCTCAAGTTCGCGTACGCGGTGGGGGTGCGGTTTACGTAGGGATTCGGGTTAGTAAGGTTTGGTGGTTGGGTGGCGTGCTTGGGCAGTGCTCAATAATGAGGGGTTCACAGGGTCGTCAGGTTAGGGCTGTTTGGCTTGCTGATTAATTTTTCCAGCAAATGTATTATTAGATGATTCTATATATATAAAAAATATATATATATAATAATAGAGAGAGAGAGAGAGAAGGAGAGAGAGAGATGATGAGAGAGAGAGGAGAGAGAGAAGAGAGCGAGAGAGAGGAGAGAGAGAGCAGTGAGAAAGAGAGAGATGAGAAAGAGGAGAGGACACACATATATAATATATTCAAAGAAATGATAATTCAAAAAAAGAATTTATTTATTATTATACATATATATATTCATATATATTATAATAATTTATAATGAATTTCTTTTTAAGATTAGCAGCTAATCATTTTTCTTGATATCTGAATGCTTGCTTGCAGGCGGCAGACGTTCGTCGCGATGTGTGAGCAGCTGTTCGGGTGCCGTCCCTTGCGCCGGGCAGATGCTCTCTCTTCCTCCTCCCGCCGCTCGACCGGAGGTCGGCTTCCCATTCGCTGCGCGTGCGTAAGCCTGTCGCTGACTCCGCTGACGGACGGGCTGTCCGGGTGACGCCGTCGCCGTGGTTACTGTTACTCCCTGCTCGTGCTCGGGAGGAAACTGTCTAGGTGAGGTGAGGAGAGAGGAGAGGGAGAGTGGGATGAGGCACGAAAGAGAGTGGAGGAGCAAAGAGAGCGAGCAAGGAGAGATGAGAAGAGAGGTAGAAGAGTAGAGATGAAGAGCCGAGAAGACCTGTTTTTCTCCTCCATACACTCGTAGATATTTTTGGACCTTCAGCTTCGCGTCAGAGATTATAGGCTGCTAGCTTATAACTTTCCCAAACAATGAGCTCACTGCGGAGAGATATATTGCTTGAGAGACGAGGAGAAAGAGAGAGAGAGAAGAGACGAGAGTAGACCATCGAACGCCATTGATAGTTCTGCACGCGCTTCTAATACACTACCCTAACCCTGCATTAACTATCGACAGACGAAGGCTGAGTGAGGAGCTGGACTTGGAACTACCTACTCGTGATCAGTCGACCTGCCAGGCGTCGCTACAGACGCCACAGCCACTTACCCGACGCGCGCGCACCGCCAGGCAGCGATGACACGGACAGCGAGGCAGGAGGAGGATGCTGATTGGCGACGGGACGGACGATCAGTATTTGGTGACCGGTAAAAGCACGTGCGCACATTGCCAAACATTTTGCCTCAAAAACATTCTCGTTAGCCAAGTGTTCCATGAAATGTGTCGGCAATGTACGCGGCTGAAAATAAGTCGCCGAACATTTGTTCCGAACACATGTCTGTCAAGATCGGAAATGCTCTTGATATCTCGTAACATTTGTTCGTCGAATGATTCGTCAATGTGCGCTGAATGTCGAACAATTTAGGAACATTTGTAAAGTTAGTAACCAATAGGCAGCACGATATGTGGTCACATGATTTTTGTGCCCAATCATGCCGCGATCACGTGGACATCTTATACAAACACAGCTACCTAGACGGCGCCACGAGAATTGTTCCGCCGCAAAATGTTCGGCAATGTATGCACTCAGAGCAATTTTCATGTCCACCCGCACATTGTCTAGGACAAAACATTTGTTCGGCACGAACATTTTGCTTCGGGAAAATGTGCGCCAGGCTTTTACGTCCGCGTTGTGCCTTACTCCCATTTCGCCTACACCATATGTACTACAATGTTACATTGTACAAGTTTGTGTTCTCATTATCTTGACCTATGTTTTGCTTCTGGGTTCCTGGTGTCTATATATTGCCAATTCAAAACCATATTTTATTTTTATAAATGATTATTTAGTTGAACAAACGATCGTAGACGATATGAGATGGGGGTTAGATTTTAAGCGTAGACGAATGGGATTAGTGCGAAGTGGGTGTAGGGCTGTAGGCCAATCTGGGTATTTTGGCTGTAGGCGAAATTGGGGAATTTTGCCTGTATGGCGAAATGGGAGTCGTGAGTGGCTCAAGCCGGTAATAAAACCTTGCTGTACGCCGAGCGCTGACGCTAGTTGCAGATCGCTGCCGTTTATGCGCATGACGCCCGAGCTTTGAAATCCTGCCGACTGACCCTGCTGCAGAATGGGTCATTGGTTTGCGGCCTCATGTTCATTGATGCGTGGGTCCTGACTTGGTTTATGATTGTGGTCAAGTATTCGTGGGTCCTTGATGGGTTATTGGTTCTATTGGCCGTCATGATTTGTGGGGTCCTTGATCGGTTTATGGTTCATGGGTCATGGGTTCATGATTCGTTGGGGGTCCTTGATGGTTTTTGATTGGGTTTTTTTCATGGGTCTTATCGCTGGGCGTCATTGTATCTTGTGGGGTCCTTGTATGATTATGGTTCATGGGCGTGGTCATGATTCTTGGTCATGATTTGTGGGTCCTTGATGGTTTATCGGTTTCATGGGTCATGATTGTGGGCTGTCGCTTGATGGTTTTGGGTTCATGGGTATGATTCGTGGGTCCTTGATGGCGTTATGTCCAATGGTTTATGGCGTCATGATTCGTGGGGTCTGATGGGTTTATTGGTCCATGCGTTCGTGGGTTTTGAATGGTTATGGTCCAATGGTTCGTGGGTCTTGATGGTTATGGTCCATTGTTTCATGGGTCATGATTCATTTGGTCACAGATGGGTTCTGATGGGTCAAGATCCGTGGGTCATGGCCCATGAGTCATGGATCATGATGGGTCATGATTCGTAAGTTACGATGGGTCATCTCCATAGTATCGCCGTGACTAACGCTTCGTCTGCGCCCTCGCAGCCCGGGGACCTGAAACAACCCGCCATCGTCATCGCCGCATGCCTCGATGCGATCAACGACGCTCGCCACGTGGGGGCGCTACTCGACATGGTGGACCGTCACCCGGACGCGTCTCCGCTCGCCGCGCTCTGCCAGATCTGCCACAACGTGATGGGTGGCGCGCGCATGCAGGCCGTACACAGACACAGGTGAGCGCGCGGCGTTCAAACACAGTATGTCGATCGCTGTGGTTCTTTGACGGATTGGAAGCCGGAAACCAGGGGGTTTGAATTACGAAACGACGATATTAGTGATCGGCATTGACTTTTATTCTGCGCGGCGTGGCAACACCTAGTGTGTGTAAACAGCGGAGCATTTTGACATCAGACTCATCATGTTCAACATATTGGTTATGAAATTTCATTGATAATGTGTCATAATTGTGAATATATTAATAAATGTGGTTATGAAATTCATGATCGACATCGTTCTGCGTGGCACGACAACATCTAGCGTGTGGAGACAGCACAGCTTTAATTAAATATTAATATTATAATTGTACATATAATAATTCCATCATAGAATGAACCTAATGAAACTCTATATGATTGGTCGCAGTAAGAACACCTAGAGGGCGTTATTCAATGATTATTACTGGCAGGTGGTGCCTAAGCAACTGAGGCAGTGCGGAAAGAAGGCATTTTTAATTATTCTTAAAATATTCGTTTAATTATTTTAATTGTTTCTCTTAATTATTCTTCTGTCACTGCTCATCGCTGATGCTCTTACAGGTTGCTGTCTACGCTAGCGTTCCAGCCTACCTTCCTCCGACAGCTGTGGCTTAGCGTGAAAAACATGGCGACGCCCACGATCACAGGGTACACAAGTTTATAAGACTACCCGTCAAATGTCAGTCGCAGCATCAACCTGTTCCTGGCTGTAGTAACATTATTTATATTAGTAGTATTATTCTTAGTAGCTTAATTAGATATTAGGTTATGCGTCATCAGCATTAACTTACGTCTGGAATCTGTGTATGTATTCTATGTTATTCTACATTCCGGCTGTTGCGCATAGTTTTGTTTATAACGTAAAATACATCGTACCCATATGTGATCGTAGATCTTAACGAAACTCTATATGGGGGCTGGTCGCAGCAAGAACACCATGCAGCAAGCGCTTTATGATGATTCTTACTAGCTGGTGGTGCCTGCGTAACGTCGCAGTGCGAAAAGTGGCGAAGGCGTTTTCTTAAAATATTCTAATTATTTTAATTATTTCTCTTAATTATTCTTAAATTATTCTCGTGGTAGTGCGAATGTGGCTACCCAGATGGCGCCACTAACGCTTCGTTCCCCCGTCTCTCTCGTAGGTCTAGCGTGCGTCTGCTGCAGCTGCTGTCGCGAGGACTCCGCCCCGAACCGCACGACGCTCAGCGCATCGTCCCCCAGGTGGCGCTGTTCTGCGCGCTGTACGGAATCTCGCTGCTCACGTTACACGACGATGAGTTCTACCAGGACACAGGTGCGTGACCTTCGTAGTGACCTTTGTAGTGACCTCTGTAGTGACCTCGATAGTGACCTCAATAGTGACCTCGGTAGTGACCTCGGTAGTGACCTTTGTAGTGACCTCTGCCCAGTGACCTTTGACCAGTGACTCTCTTTCGCTCCCCCTCTTTCGCTTTCTCTTTCTCTCTCTCTTTCCCTTTCTCTCTCTCTCTCTCTCTCTCTCTCTCTATTTCTCTTTGTCAATATGAAACATAATAGTGTGTGATTTCTCCCGTAGATGGCGCTGAGCGTTCCCCGTCGATGGCGTTCTCGCTGCACGAGCTCGTCTCGCTCACGCAGACGCTACGTGACGTCGCGCTGGGGTTGCTGGAGCTCACGCACCCGCAGACCGTCCACCAGAACTACCTACGCGCGCTGACCAGTGTCAGCAAGCAGCAGCAGGCAGGGGGCGCCACCACCGTGCACAGCCTTCACCGCTGGTCAGACCTGTTTCAGGTACCGTAGTGCGTTGCTGCGTCGATGGGGTGTTTTCGGGGGAGATGTTCAATGATTTGATTTTAAAAAATTTAAACGTTCCGCAGGCTTAAATATACGTATGCAGTAACATGTAACGTGTACAGTAGCGTATACGTAATGTGTAGCGTAACGTGTAGCGTGTAGCGTAGCGTATACGTAATGTGTAGCGTAGCGTATACGTAACGTGTAGCGTAGCGTATACGTAACGTGTAGCTTAGCGTATACGTAACGTGTAGCTTAGCGTACACGTAACGTGTAGCGTAGCGTATAGTGTGCGTAACGGTCCGTATTAAAGAAAGTCATGCTGCCACTTTGTGAAATATTATGCGTGCTTAAATATTATTTAATACTATGTGCAACACGTATGCATATGGTGGGCTTTTAAAAGAGTCGTAACTCACTGTATAACATTCTGCATGCTTGTGCATTTCCGCGCCGCTGCGCCGGTGCCACCTGTCCTCCACGTTCTCACCCGACGTCGTTGCAGATGGTGTCGTTGTTGGTGCGGCAGCTCTATGCACGCGACACGCGTCGCCCGTTCTGTCCGCCCGGTCACTGGATCGCGCAGAGTCTGCTGCTGCAGGCAGATCGCCCACGACAGCTGTTCCAGCACTACCACGCCGGCACCACGCTCACCTCCCCCGGGCAGCAGCCGCCGTCGATCAGTGAGTACAGCAGCGCCATCTGGCGAGCGATCGTCGCAGGACGCGTCGCGTGATCGATCGTGGAAGTTTGATTGGGCGGCGACAGTTTTTCGATTTTTGTAAATTGTAGTATCTTTCTGTCTCTCACCATACATCCCTACGGAGGCATAACATTGTAAGGATTTGATCGAACGATTCCTTCTGAATATCTTCAATGCCATTTTTTACCGAACGGTAAAGAAGGGAGTGATTGGTACGATTTGCGAGTGGTTACTCACGCTGCTCTCTGATTGGCCACGTTGTTTCAGCGCCCGCGGAGGCGGCGGATTTACCGGCGTTGTCAGTTACGGAGGCGCGGAATCTAGCCGTGCTCACCGAGCTTCCCTTCATCGTGCCGTTCGAACACAGAGTCAAGGTATGTGAGCGTGTGTGCGTGCATGCGTGCATGTACGTGTGCATGTGTGCGTGCATGCGTGAGTGTGTGCGTGCATGCGTGAGTGTGTGTGTGTGTGTTTGTGTGCGTGCGTGCGTGTGTGCATGTGTGCGTGCATGCGTAAGTGTGTGTGTGTGTGTTTGTGTGCGTGCGTGCGTGTGTGCATGTGTGCTGTGCGTGCGTGTGTGCATGTGTGCGTGCATGCGTAAGTGTGTGTGTGTGTGTTTGTGTGCGTGCGTGCGTGTGTGCATGTGTGCATGCATGCGTGAGTGTGTGTGTGTGTGTGTTTGTGTGCGTGCGTGTGCGTGCCAGTGCATGTCTGTGTGCTTTTACGCGCTCTTGCATCTGTATGTGCATTCATACGAGTGCATATGCGTGTGCGTGCCTGCCTGCGTCCTTTTTTTCTCGTAATGTATGTAAAGAATAATTATTACAGCGTTCTATTTTCTACTTGCAGATATTTCAGCAGCTGATAACCTCTGACAAGGAGGACAACCACCGCGATCGCGACAGCTTTGCGATCGGACCTTCGATCAACACTCTAGTCCGCCGAGGATACCTGTACGAAGACGCATTCGATAAACTGTCGCCGGAGAATGGTAGGACATCTCATCAGGCTCCCGTATGACCACCCAATATTAAATACAAATATATAATTCTTATTACCTGTGATTAAATGCCTACTGAAGGGTGTATTTGTTTCCTCGATCCCGCGAACCCAGTCTTTGCTGCACATCTTTTCAGCTTTAATCCTGTATATTGTTCGTTTAACCCCCGTAGATCATTTTTATAAACTTTATGTAGTCTGTTTAACCAAGTATATAGTCTTGTTTAATCCTTGTATAGTCTGTTTAACCAAGTATATAGTCTGTTAAATCCTTGTATAGTCTGTTTAACCCTATACATTTTTTGCTTAATCAATTTATCCTTTACCTTACCCCCTATATCACCTGCCTAACCCAGCGTGTGTAT